GAGGGGCTATAACTGCAGACTGCAGAGATCAGGTCCCTAGGGACAGTTGAAAGACTGGTCTCCCAAAAGGCAGGAGCATCCTAAAGGCTTGGCAACTTGTGTTCCATGTTTGCTTCAAACATGCTGGTGTTTGTGAGGATGGTGCAGAATCTGTCACCATTTCCTTCTGTTGTACATGAGGTTGCCATAGTTGGAGTCACCTTGACAGTAGCTAGCAACAGCATTCAGTGTGTACCAAAGTTTTCAGTGGAGACCAGGAACACATGATCTTTAGCCAGGCGAGGGAATAAAATGATCAGTCAGTGCCCATACTGGGAGGATAGAGTGACTCAAGAATAAACTCAACAGAGAGAAATATGAAGCCTGAACCAAGGTTCTGAAATATCAGCAGAATATGTACGTGATAGGGAGGCCAGGCAGAGTTGTAGTTCTCTTACAAAGACCTAGATTTTTAATTAACTGAAATGTCAGTATGTTATCAGGGTGTGCTGCTACAAGAAAACCAAAGACCAGCTTGAGCTGCACTAACAGAAGCAGGGTGATTAAAATGAGGTAGCTTATTATCCCACCCTGCTCTGCCCTGATCAGACATATATTGAGTAGGTGTTCAGCTTTGGACCCCAAATTGTACAAGGGATACTGAGAAACTAGAATTCCTCAGAGAAGGGTAAGCAGGATAGAGGGGCATCTTCTAGGAAGGATGGAGGGACAGGGGATATTTGACTTAGGGAAGAGAGACCTGGAGAGGAACATGGTCACTTTATGAATAGCTGAAGGTATATCATGCAGAAGAGAAGCAAATGATTCTGTCATTCCAAAACACAGAACAGCCAGAGTAAAAGGAGTCTGATTAAGCACAGGGACAGCTTGCTATCAATTAGAAGTATTTGATGATGAGAGAAGTTGCCTATTGAAGAAAGGAGTGAGTGGCTTCCCACTGGAGATTCTGAAGCCTACCCTGGCCAACCACCTACCATTGATGTCTCAAAAAAAGAAACCAAACTCACTGCTGTCAAGTTGGATCCGACTTACAGCAACTCCTGCTTGGGTTTCTAAGGCGGTATCACTATGGAAGTAGATTGTCCAACCTTCCTTCCAAAGAACGGCTGGTGGCTTTGAACTGCCAGCCTTCTGGTTAGCATTCAAATGCCTTAGGCACTACACTACCAGAGCTCCCATTGATGTCTCAGCAGTAATTCTTATTGGGATGGAGGTCTGGATTAGACAGTCCTGTGATGAGTTCCTTTGAGGTTTGTGTGCTAAGAGCATGTCAAAATGGCCTTAGTGAAGCACCTATGTCCCAAACTTTCCTCCTGGTTCCATTTGGGCTAACCTTTCATTTGGTCTTTTTGATTCATTTTGCCCAGGCTGGGCCAGGCAGGGAGTCCCTTGGTGGCACAAATGGTTAAGTGCTCAGCTGCTAACTGAAAGATTGGTGGCTTGACTCTACCCAGAGGTATTCAGCAGAAAGGCCTGGTGATCTGCTTCCAAAAAGTCAGCCACTGAGAACTCTATGGAGCACAGTTCTACTCTAATACACATAGAGTCATCATGAGTTGGTGTCAACTCAGCTAGTTATTTTTTGTGTGTCCGTATATGTGTGTGTGTGTGTGTGTACCAGGCAGTGTTTGGCACACTCTTGGGCAGAATGGCAGGCTTCCAGCTGATAGGATGCAAGCCTGGGGCTACAGGGAGAGTCATGAAAGCAGAGCCATGGCCAGAGCAAGAGAACAAAGTCTGAGGTCATCTTTTAGGCTCTAGTCTGCCTGAAACCAGTGTACACTGAATGTGCTACCTAAGATAATACCTTCTAGTTGCAGTTAGTTCTGTCACCAGAAGAGTCCTGATACAAACTCCACAGATCTGTCCTATTCTAACATTCTTTTTTACCCTGATTGGACATGAGAGGGATAAAAACAGTAAGCACTTGCTTCATGCCAGTTGCCACGAACAGTGTTTTCTGTGGGTTATGCCATTTTATCTCCAACCACCCCACATGGTCATTATTATTGCCTCATTGTACTGATGTATCAGTGAGAAATCTTGCCGTGGCTGATATTAGAAAATCTGCAGCTCAAGCCACACCAGTTTATCATTGTGTTTCCTCTCTGATTTCATCCTCAAGCTCCACACAGGACCCGTGGCCACTTCCAGAAGACCAGAAGTATCACCTTCCATCTCCCATTCTTGGCCAACCATTGTGGTGAGGCCAGATAGGAGACATGGACTGGATGAAACCAGTTGGCCCACTCTTGAGCTGAAGGTTGGTCAATCCCGCACAAATTCCATGGCAGAAAGCTGGGATGGCAAGCTCCAGAAGGACACTCTGGACACATTCCTTGAAGGGAAGGGAATGGACACTGGGCAGAAAATAGATGCCCATGACAAGAGGCATAATGCCCTGTGTCTTCTCCTCCCTTATATCCATACTTCCTGTCTTGGTTTCCTAGAGCTGCTGTAACACAAATACCACAAGTAGGTGGCTTTAAAGAACAGCAATTTATTTTCTCACAGTTCTGGAAAAGTCCAAACCAGGATCTTGTCAATTCCAACCTTGTTGGTAGTCCTGGTTATCCCTTGCTTCCTTGGCTTTGTAGATGATTCTCACACAGCATCTGTCTCTGTGTCTATTCTATTCTATTTGTATCTCAAAAGTGATTAGATTTAGAATCTATCTTATTTGGGTATGATCTCATTACCATAACAAAGAAAACCCTATTTATAAACTGGATTACACCCACAGTTTGAAGAGTTAGGATTCCAACATATATATTTTTTGGGGACACAATTCAATACATAACACTCTTCCTGGAGGTAGTGGTGGGGTGGCAGGGCTGAGTACCAGTGCTGGCCCCCAGAGATGAGGCATCTTTTCCCTCTGCCTTTTGCCCTAAACCCTTCCCAGAGGTTTGTGGATTTGAATCCTCCTTGCAGAACATGTGGTCTTCGCTATTCCCTCTGTTCAGTACTTTCAAGGTTCTCTACAAGCCCCCTAGGCCAGGTCCCCCCAAAGGGGTTCCTGGAAGTACAGCGGTCTGATGTCCTTTCCACATCCAAGGATAAAACAGAGGTAACTCTTTGACTCTTTAAGTCAAAACTATTTCAGAAAACGTGTGGTGAGTTCCTCTTTAAACTCAAGATTATTTTAAACTTAAAATTAGTTTGAACTCAAAATGAGATCATATCTCATTTTCCTATTTTGAGTTGAAGAGGAGAATTCAGCTCTAGTCTTCAGGCTTATGGATGTTAAGTCCACCTGTCTGGTGTAAAAAGCCTAATGTAAGGAGGAGGAGAGAGGTTTCCCTCATCCGTAGTGTGGCAGGGACAGTGACTCAGGTGTGGTGGAGGTGGGAAGAAACACATTCCTGTCCATGGTTCCAAACCACTGAACACAAGCCTTGGAGTCTCAGACTGGAAGTCCAGAATGCCTATAACGATGGTTACCAGAAAACAACCCTTCTTATATATATAAAGGGCTTTAGCAGATGCCAGGTCATCTGATATTCCTGTCTGGAACAAAAAGAGAGGGTGCTTGAGGCTTCTTGCTTATACAGGTACAATGAACACAGGTGTTCTGGTTACCTAGCACTGCTCTGACAGGAATATACCACAAATGGGTTGCTTGAACAAACAGGAGTTTATTCTCTTACAGTTTGGAGATGTTAAGTCCTATTGCAAAGTGCCAGGCTCTAGGGGCTGGGTGAAAGTCCCTCAACCTTGGGATTCAGCTCTGCCTCTTGTCACTGAAGCTAGAGCCATCTCTTCACTCAGGCAGCTACTGGCTGCTGGGGCTAACAAGCCCGAAGTTAACAAATAAAATGGCACAGTCCCGATGTTACTAAACCACACAGCAGGCCATTAATTCAAGTCCATTGAAAGTCCCAAGGACGGCCAGTCAGGGAGTCTCTACTCCTGGCCAACGACTGAACAACGACTGAGCTACATGCAGAGTTCAAGTGTGCCATAAGCTAGAGACTATCCCCAAGGCTTCTCCTTATATACAGGAAGCAGACCATAGCCCTAAGGCAGCTACTCAGCTGCTCACTGTAGATCCCACCATGGAGTTGATTACCAGTCTCATCCCCGGGAATGCTACCACCAGCTGCCCAGCCACTCAACCAGGCCCAACCAAGTTGACACATAACCTTAACTACCACAACAGGTATGGGCTGAGTACTGTTCTGGGTACTGGTCCACGCACTAGAAACACCATGGTCTGCAAAAACGAGCCTTTCTTTTGGTGGCGGCTGGGCTGAGCACTTGCTTCATGCCAGGCACCATGAACAGTACTTTCTGTGGGTTATGCTGAGACTTGGCCATCTTTACCTAGCACCCCTTACTCCCCAGCACTTACCACTCTGGCGCTCACCAAATGTGGCACTATGAGAGCCTGCATAGCCTCAGTGAGGGTGGTCACCCTATATATTGCTCTGCCTCAGTTCATTTGGAGGGGTCTTCTCTTCTTTAGTCCTCTCAGCAGTAATGCCTCAAGAGCTCAACAACTAAAAAAGAAAAGAAAGAAAGCCCCTACCTCTCCCCTTTTCCCACCAGGACCCCAGTCTTGCTCCATCTGCACAGCCCTACGGACTTAGGGGCTGTGATCTCCGAACACTGGGCATGCAACGTACGTCAAGGCCTCCTGCAGGTTCGTCCAGGGTGCACTGACCAGCTCCCTCCAGTTTCTGACCAGTGGGGCCGCGGGGTTTTGGGTGAGCCACGGACAGGTGAGCTCCTGGTGGTTCCGCGAGCGGGCGGGGTGCCAGGCAGGAGCACAACAAGAGCACGCTCACCTGCCCGCGGCCCCGCCCCCCCAGCGCTGGCCAATCGCCCGCACCGGGCGGAGCTGGAGCCGGAGCCAGAGCCGGAGCCGGAGCCCGAGCACTTGCGGTTGCCCGCGCAGCAGCTCAGCCTGGAACGAGCGCAGCCTCGTCCCCGACGCCTCGTCCCCAGCGCCGCAGCCTCGTCCTCGCAGCCGCCGCCGCCGCCGCCGCCCCCGGGGCATGGCCTGTCTGATGGCCGCTTTCTCTGTCGGCACCGCCATGGTGAGTGCACGCATCCTGGGTCCCTGGGCTTAGTTTCTTGTCCGGGAGAGCAAGAAATACATTAAGACCCTCGCCCTGACCCCCTCCGCGCTCGCTCCGGGGCTCCTGTGAGCTCGTCCTCCGGCGATGACCCAGGTGCCCCGAGAGGCCCGGCTCTGATCAGCCTTGTTCTGGCCACCTGACATCTCAGGATGCTCCTGGACCGGTCGGGAACGGGAGGGGTGGGAGGCAGCCAGACGGAACCACAAGTGGACAGATGGCCTTGACCTCGTCTGCGTCCGGGGGGCGTGCAGCTTGGGGACCCGGAGCGCGCTGGGAGTGGCCGCAGGCTGGGCGGGAGGGAAGGAAGGTCTGCTATCTTTGCCCGCGGGTTCAAAGAGCTCGAGAAGCAGGGATTCCTCGCGTCACCCTCCAGAGTGCCGGGCAAGAGAACAAAAGAGGGAGATGATCCATGAGAGCTGGAGCCTGCCTTCCTTCAGCACTGTGGGGGACGGCGGGGACAGCTTCTCCTGGACCAAATGGAGGACAGGGCAGCGGAGTTGCCGAGGAGGCAGATGAAGGGCGAGAGGTGGGGGATGCCTTTCTGCACCCCGGAGAGAGACCGGTAGGGAACAGAGGCGGACACCTCACTTCTGAGGCTACCAGCTCTGGCGTGGACATCAAGGTGCCGGGCGAGTTCTTGCTAGACAATTACAGCAAACCGCTTTTCCAAGCGACGGGCAAGAGACACCTCTTGCATATTTGTAACATCTCCATAAACTTACATTAGAAAAGCAGAGACCAAAACTAACCATGTATGCTTTATTGTCAACACCACACCCACCCCACCCTACCTAAGGCCGTTCATTTCGATGCCTAGCACATCAACATTGCAGTTTGTTACTTATGGACTAAATTTCAGGTTATCTAAAGTATCCAAAGAAAGTATTCGGTATTCTTACTGGTATTATCCTATCTATCCATCTATCTTTCTATCTTTTTTTTAATTTACTATCCGGCCAGCTACTTCCTGTAGGCTGTGCGCCCTCAGTGTATAGCACGCACCAAATTTCCACGCTCCCTCCCCCCTTTATCTCATTTTTAGCATCCTGTATTTGAAGTCAGCTGGGCTCAGCAGGATTTGACCGACAGTTACCTCTTGGCTTGAGCTCGAGAAAAAAAAAAAGTAGCCGGGGTTCTGCGCATGCTCCGTTCTGACACCCGCATCCTATGATTCCAAACAGGTTACTGTAGAGCATACCGAGACTCGCCAGCTCATTATATAATGATTTTGTGTAAACTGATAGAATGGGGCCGGCAGAAACCTTAAGTCTGTTGATAGAGGAGGGGAAACCCAGGGGTGGGGGTGGGGCGGAACTTGCAGGCCAGCTCCTATCTCTGGGAGTACTCTACCTTCTATACTTGACTTACATATAAACCCACTGTCAAGAGTTGATTCCGACTCATAGCGACCCTATAGGAAAGAGTAAAGAACTGCCCCATAGGTTTTTCATGGCTTACGGAAGCAGACTGCCGCGTATAAGAGAGAATGAAAAACTTAAAAGCCAGTCTCCTCATAATCTTTGCTTTTATCTGGTTGATGTCTGGGTAATATTCCTCTGGGAAATCATCCTTTTACATTTGTTCATTTATTTGGAATTCCTAAATAATGTGGATAATGGAAAATTAAGGAGATTATTGATGCTCGTTTAAGGTAAGGAAGGTTTTAGATCCTTCAGTTGCTGAGTGGCTCTTGAAGTCCTTTTAGGGATTCCAAGAAGACTTGTACACATGGGAATAAGAATGAATCCAAATGTTTTCAGATGTAGATTGTTCTTTTAGGTCAAATAATGTTAGGTTTTGCTACAGTCCCAGAACTCAAGTGTTGTTTCCTGGCATGAAGACACTTAGGGCTGGGCTCATTTTTTCATTTCAAGGAACAATCTTTTGTTTGAAAATCATTTCTCTCCCTGAAAACCTTGTACCTTTTTTATTTTAAAAATTCTATCCAAATTATAAACAGAGACCCTTGAAGGATACCCAGGATCCTGAACTTGACATTCCCACTACCCCCATGTTCAGGTCCAACAGTGTGGTGGGCCTGGGAGGTGTGTGTCTGGAGAAGGCATCCTGGAGAATCTAAACAGGATTCTGGGAGCTCTGGTGGTGTAGTGCCTAGGCATTTGACTGCTAACCAGAAAGCTGGTGGTTCAAACCCACCAGCCACTCCTCAGAAGAAAGATTGGGCAATCTACTTCTGTAGTGATACTGCCTTGAAAGGGGTCACTATGAGTCAGATCCAACTTGACAGCAGTAAGTTTTTTTTTTTTTTTTTTTTTTTTGAGGTCCTGAGCTGGAGGCCATGAGGTGTGGGCACAGGTTTCCCAACAGGGTAGCAGGATTTGGGACCGCCTAAAGAGCGTTCTTAGTGATAGTGAGGTTGATGTTCTGAATGGCAAGCCAAGTGGAATCTGTCCTTGTAGCTTGTTAAAGGGGCAATGTTCTGGTGATTTTCCAGTGGGCAGTCGCCTTGAGGATTGGTCAGACATTGATGGGCCCAGTGCTGCAGGATACTAGGGAAGGATCTTCCCACCCAACAGCAAAGCCCACTGTCTAAGTGGACACCAAAGTTGACAGCCACAAACTACAGAGAGAAGTGAGAGAGAACTATGTGCCAAGCCCCTGATACCCACTCCCTCTTCTTCCTTTTTCCTCCCTTCCCTGTGATGCTGAGGGAGAAGTTTCTGTCATAACCCTGCTTCCCTGGAGTAAATAGAGCAAATGAGTCTCTAAAAGGCCTGGGTAAGGCTCACTAATTGTGAGAGACTCCCCCTCGATATGCCCAGCATTCAGACGGAAATCCTGGGTCACTCTGCCCCATGCCCTGAAAATATTCTCATGACCAGCAGCCAGGAAAGCTCCAAATAAGGTCTCCTCTGCATTCAACCTTCATGAATGAACTTACTATTATTTGCAATACATTATGCAGAAAAATTGTGCGTGGAGGGGGAAGGTCAAAGACAACAGGGAAACAGAGCAATGAAAGGAAGAAATGAGGGAAGAGGTACTGGTTTTATTTTTAATGAGCTTGGGAGGTGAAGGAAAAACTAACTGTAACCTACCATGTCAGCAGCTCATGTCTGAGGGTATTTTTCCAGAGAGTGGGTCTATTTTGGAGTCGTGGGCCTCTGCCCCACATCAGACAGGTTTTTATGATTTTTTTAATTGGGCAAGGCTCTCTGGCACCTATGGGGGAAAGGTGAGTACTTGTGTGCATCACTTTGGGCTTAGTTCACTTGGAGCTGGGGATGTATGATTTCTTAAGTTTGTTGTGAATTTCCCTGTAAGGGTCACCTATAGCTTGCCTATAGAAAGCTAAGCAACATTCAGATCATTGGACAGGATTTGAGAAGCATTCTGTCTTTAGGAAGGTGGCATGGATGGATGGAGGGAGTTGGAAGGCCCACAGAGCTAGACCCCAGGGAGCCAGGGAGCCTGACGACTCACCAGCTGGTGGATATTAGGCCAGTCTGGCATTCTTTCCATGGTGTTGAATCCTCCTCTGAAATAAAGATGGTAATTTCCACCTTCTAGACGTGGGGACAGAATTAAAGGTATAATTTCTACACTAGGGAGTTTAATGGGCACATTGTGATTGCTCAATCAATAGTAGCTATTGTTTATAATCATTTATCTAGTATGCATGAGGCGTTATTATTTAATACTTTAAATAGTAAGTACTTGACTGTGGCTTCTCCTTCTCTCACTTCTGCATCAGTTTACTCAACTTGCTTTGTTCTACTGACCTGTCAACTTGTCTCCATCCCCACTGCCACCATCACCTCTCTACTGAAGCAGCCTCCTGTCTGCCCACCTCCAACAACTCCCTTTGGCACCCTGGTGTCAACAGCACTGCAGGAGCCATTATTCTCAACTGCAAATCTAGTTCTTTCACTCCCTGGCTTTAGACTCTGGCTCCCCAGGGACCTCTAGATAAAATCCAAACTCCTTAACAAGGTTGGCCAGCCCTCGATGATCTGGACCCATTTTGACTCTCTAGTCTCAAAGCCCCCTCCTCTCCTCCTCCATACCACCCTAAATCTAAATCAGTGCTCTAACTCCTGGATTTCTTTCAGAGTCTGGAATGTTCCTTTCTCTTGCTGCTCAGCCTTTGCACATGCTATTCTCTCACATAGAGGGAACCACCGCCCATCTTACCTTATTAATCTCAACTTAGATTTTATTTCTGTAAAAAGACTTTGTCTCGAATCCCCACACCCCAGAGTCTGTGGTATCTTAGCTGTCCCTTCTGGGTCCCTGTATAGTCTTATTATAGCCCTTGCAGCACCATATTGTGATTGCCTGTTTCTTGCCTGGGGCCTGATCTTGATCTTGAACTTGCTCAGACCAGAGGCCATGTCTGTCTGGTTGACCACTGACACCCCCACCCCCACCCCAGCTTAAGTTGGTGCTGAATTTGTTGACTGGATAGACAAATGAGTGAGAGAGTGAGGGAGTGACTAGATAGGGAAAGTTTAGAGTCTAGTGGGGAAATTCAGACTCTCATCAGAATATTGGTCTGACTGATATCTGCCAATTGGTAGATGGATGGAGTAATGCTATCATCCCCGCATTATTGTGTGTTTCTTCAGTAAGGAAATAAGTGACTGATTGGACAGATGCCTGAGGTGGCTGCCTAGGAGGAGGGTATGGCAGCTAGAACACTGTGCGTAGAGGTTGAAAGGGTCCTATGACTGGAGAGGAGCTTGTTGAATCACCACAGCCCCTCACCTCCACAACTGAGCACACAGCCATTGAAGACCTCCAGAGTTAGAGCTCCAAGTCTACCAGCAGAATGTAGGTTTGGAACCAGCACTTCCTGTCATTCCATTTGTGTGGCCAAGGAGCTAATTGTCTTGTCCTACTGCTCCCTCCCACACTCCCCAAAGCCAGGATTTGGAGCTTCCCAAGTCTCCTTCGGAGTCAAAGTGGGCTATAAACCAGTGTCAGCAGCATGCAGTCGTCAAAGAGCAGGATGAACAGGCAAAGGGGTGGCATTTGGTTCCCAGCTCTGGGGATGCCAAAGCTGGAGCCAAGGGTGTGCTGAGCAAGGGCAGAGTTTTCTATTAGTTCTGCAAGACGCCCCAGTATAGAAAACAGAGGCTGCATCCTAGCTTCCTCTGGGGCCCCTGAGCCACATGATCACCTTAAGGCTATGAGGATTCCTGTTGTCAGACAAAACTTCACTAACTTTGTTTCTGGAATTTAGGAACCTACTTACGTTTGTGTCTGAAACATTTCACATTCTCAGTGCCAACAGCCAACCAAGACTAATTTTGTCAGAGTTGTACTCTGCACCTTTATTTTTATCCATAGAACGTTATAATCCATGAGCTAATTTTTTATTTGGTTCAAGTTTTGAGAAGTAGGTGAGGGATGTGTGTGTATCTGTATCTGCATGTGTGTGCACGCTCTATGTATGTGCATGTGTGTATGTGTGTATTTGCATACCTTTTGCTTAAAATGTCAAAGTTCCATTTTCAACTGTGAAAAGAATCAGAATCCCCTATGGCCACCTCTCCCCAGGCCCCCATTTTTGTTTTAAGTATTTGAAAGCTTCAAGTTTAGAGATGGGTTTTTGGCCCTTAAACACCATGAAGGAAATAATGCCAGCTCTTCAGTAATACAGTTATGTGCCCTCAGGAAGGCATTCTAATAGGGGAAAATCTTGATCCCCTGAGTTGCTGGGATTTGTGGGGTTTTTTGTTTTTGTTTTGGCTTTTTGATTAGACACAATAATGGCCAAAACTAGCAACTCTAAAGAAATAGTTAACAACTCTGTGGAAAAACCCAGTAAGTTGTGGTTCCTCTTTAGGACAAACAGTAACATGGCAGTGTCTCTGTAGTCCCCAGGGCAGTCAAACTAGCCTGAATTATCCAAGATGGCGATCAGTAGGCTCTTCTCATTGAGGCCTCCAACAGTATGGTGGAGTGTTGCAGAAGGCCCGTGCTTTTGAAACTGTGGACTTTGTCTTTAGATTAAAGAGGCAGCTAGAAAAAGTACAATATAATATTTGTCCACCCCAGGGTTCTTCTGTGTTTTGGAGGTACTTGGGGCATATTGATTGGCTCAGAGTGCCAAGCCATTAGAAGAGGATATTCCTTTCTTTGCATAAATACTTTTGATTCTTGGCACATCTCTTACAGTTCAATTGACTCTCACTGTAAACTTTAAAAGCCAATGCTAGCTACAAAATATTAGGCACTTTTGTGATGCAGTAGAAAGAACAACTGTTTTTCTGATGACTCAAACTCTGGAACCACCTCTGCCCCTTATTTGATTGTGGGACTTAGGGCAGGTTCCTTAAATTGTCTGCACCTCAGTTTCCTCACCAATAAAATAGAGGAAAAAAATACCAACATTTGAGACTTTTCAGTGCTATTATGAAGATAAATTCAGAGAGTAGAGTTGTAAGTGATTTGGAAAAATTTGGAAAATTTAAAAGTAAAATGCAAAGACCAGCCCCCACAAAACCCAGGAACTCAATGATATTATTTCCTTTGAGAGGTTTTATGAGATTATAAAGGAAAGCATTAAAATAGCTCATTTAAAATAAGACTTTTTCAGTTATACATTTCAGTAGGAGCTAGTATCATGCTTCCATATTGAATATTATGAGTGGACTGCAAATCCACTACCACCACTAGCTGCCATTGAGTCAATTCTTATTCATGACAGGTTCCAAAGGGTTGGTTTAAATTGGCTTATTTTTTTTAGAAGTAGATCACCAGCCCTTTCTTCCAAGGCACCTCTGGGTGGATTTGAACTACCAAGGTTTTGGTTAGTAGTCGAGTGTTTAACCATTTGAGCCACCCAGGGACTGCAAATAATCATTTTTAATGATGGCCTGTGTTTTTCTCTTTGAGGAAAATAATTCCTTTATTACAGTTTTGTGATTTAGATTTTATGATTCCCAAGTAAGACTTGTAGATCAGCTTAATATTTTATCTTAAACATTTTTTTGAATAGAAGACAAAATGACAGATAGAGATGACACATTCCTTTAAATAAGCACCTTTCTTCTTGTGCCAAAGGTACTCTTGTAGTTTCAGAAGTGTTGCAATTAATAGTCAATGACCCTACGCCTGATGGCAAATCTCTTGATGCAATACCCTTGATGTAGCTTATAACATCTTGTTGCTTCCTCTCCTTTTCTTTTAGAATGCCAGCAGTTACTCTGCAGCAATGACGGAGCCAAAGTCGGTGTGCGTCTCAGTGGATGAGGTGGTCTCCAGCAGCATGGATGCCCCTGAGACAGAGCTGCTGAATGGACACCTGAAAAAAGTGGATAACAACCTCACGGAGGCCCAGCGCTTCTCCTCCTTGCCTCGGAGGGCAGCTGTGAACATTGAATTCAAGGACCTCTCTTACTCTGTTCCTGAAGGACCCTGGTGGAGGAAGAAAGGTAGGGAGGGAGGCTACTTTGTTCACTGAGACGTGGGAAGGTCCTGTGAAGGAAGCAAAAGCAGCAGGTTCTTTGGGCAAAATCTTGGGTCTTGAAATTGGGAGGCCAAGATTCTCTTCCCAAGTTTGTTATTATTGAGGTAATTTAGTTCATTGCTTTAGCCTCTATTTTCCTCAGCTATAAAATGAAGATGTTGGAGTAGATGATCTCAAGGTTCATGGTGATGCTAAAATTCTATTATATTATTACTAATGACCTGTTATTGGAGAAAACAAAGAATGTCACTAAAGTTGACCAGGGTCAATGTGTGCTTGCTTCCATAGTGCATTCAAAGGATCATCTTTTGTGAATGCTGTTTATCTTAGTCTTTCAAGATGGAACTATTCTTTAGCATTTCAGAGCAAATGAAAATGGCACTACTTCCCCACTTTGAAGTGTTTAAAAGTACCTATGACCTAGAGTGATGTCCCTGGAAACAATTGTTTGTGTTAGGGGTCTTCAAAGGACTCTTTAGTGGTTGGTGTTGATGGGCAATAAATATAAATTAACTGTTTTAAAATGAGCCATATAGATACAAATGGAAGAAATAGAGGGCTGAAACTTAGGAGGTCTCTGAAAAAATACACAGTATGGAAATTTGCCACAGGCATGTTGCATGTTAAAGGAAATTGACAACCAGCCTGTATTTTAGGTTTTTTCAACATCTTGGTTGCTCCCTCTCCCAGCTCTATATCTTCACATTCTGTAGAGTTGATGTCTCCTTGGGTTGATACTACTTTTTCCAGCCTAACCTAGTTCTTCCTGTGGAATTTATTCCTCATCCTGTGTCCAGGAGTGCTCTATCTTTCATGGGGGAGGGGGAGATAATTGGAAGAGGACATGTTAGCCGTCACCAAGAAATGAGGGTCCCTGGTTTCTAATGAATCGCTTACAGCAACTTGAACATCTATGAGGAATTTTGAACAATGAATGTGATTCAGATACCACTGGAAATATGTTAATATTTTTAAGACTCTCAACTTAAATCTAGATTCAATCCTACTTTCTTTTTGAAGAAGAAAGATCCACTGAGAATTGCTTTGTTTATTTCTAATTTTTCTTCTTTTTTTCTATACTTTCATTTTATTTTTGTACTTTCTTAAAGCCTAAGCATTTGAGAACATTGCTGGAGGCACTCTGGATAGTTTTAGAACCTAGATGGACTTGTCTCTGGTATCTGCCAGCCCAGGTTGGTTGTGGATAATTTTATGTCTATGTTTGCACAACCAGGAACAGCTCTTGTACCTTCTCAACGGTCTATTGTACAGTATTGTTATCTGATACTTACATTGTCAGAGAACACTAGCCTGTTTTGTAAAGGAAGAAATTCTGTGGCTGGCTCGGTGTTGAGTCCATTTGTTTGAGCCTACTGAAATGAAAGTGGCACAGTCTTTTCCTGCCTAACTTGAACAAAAATTTTTATAGAAAAAGTGTACTGATAAGTCAGGAGGACATTGTTATGTTTAGCTTTCAATCTACTCAAACCCATGAATGACAAGGAGTGATTTCTGTCTATTAGGTGTCACCTTGAAAACGTTCTTATGATGGCTGAAAATGCTTGGAGAGGTATCCTGCAAATGGAAGTGGTTTATAATGCAGAAATGCAAACATTTGAAAACTGTAGCAGAATATTGGTTTGAAATCCAACACACAAGTCTTGGCATACAATAGGTGCTCAAGCAATGTTTGCAGAGCAAGAAAACTCATTCCCAGCCAGATATATGGCTTATAAACTCTATATTCTCCAAGTGTTCAAACCAGTCACAAAAATAGTCAAAGTTAACCAATGGTCAAAGTTATCAACTATTTGTTGTAGGTGACTCTCTGGGAAGCTCAGTCCTGGTGGCTACCAGATAAACACTTGCCCTGTAGTAACCTGTGTGGGCTCAGGGGTGGAGTAGGAAATGGGTATGAGAGATCTGCCCTGTCCGTGAGTCAGAGATGGTTATAGCCAGAGAGGATGACGGACATGATTGGTTGGTGTGCCCCAGTTGCTGGTGTCTCAACCAGCGAGGCTTGGCTTTGTGCCCAGCTTCCTCCCAGCTCCCATTCTCTACAGCAACAACTGTGTCTGACTTCTCACCTTTTGCCCCTTCACTTAATGCTGCATCCCCTTTGTTTCCTTGTTTCTGGTACCTGCAATTCAGAATTTAGGCAATTTCTCACTCCAGCATAAATTCAGGTGGAAGTACTTGTCCACCTTCTCATGGAATAGAAAGGAAACTGAGGTTGAGTGGTTTAGGGGCTTGCCTATGCTCCTGATGTAGTGACAGGCAGGCCTGAGACTAGAGCGAGGATCTCTACCTCTGTGTAGTCCAATGGGACAGCCCTGCCTTAAGGGGTCCCAGTGTCGCTGAGTCCACATGGCTATCAGGGAAGCAGGGCTCTTCCTGTAGGCTTGGATATCCACAGGCCTTGTTCAGCTGTTGTAGCCACATTAGGATGGAGCAGCCAGAATTTTCTCTACTGAGGGAGTTAGCTGCAGAAGCTCTTCTCAGTGCTTACCACTTTCTCATGACCAACATGCACTTAGGTGTTACCTCCAGTTGACCCTGAACTTGGATAATGCATTTTCCCAACTAATACCTACCCCCAGGCTGAAGATTAAAGTATGCATTAGATCTGCACCCCTGCTGCTGGGCTGCCCAGTTGGAGTTCCTCTGTGGCCCTGGTCCAACATGCGAATTCCATTTATGCCCTTCCCACGTGGTAGACCGGTGTCTTTGTCTGCTTCTGCTCTGGCTGTTTCTGGAAGTCTGTCTCCTTTGCTCTCAACATGGGGCCTTCCCTTTCCCATTTTTGTCCCTCAGTTGGTGATTGTCTCATTTTCTACCAATGATTAGGTTAAGCTGTGAAGTTGAATCCAATGTCACTCTCTGCACTTCCCTTTTCTCATTTTGGAGATTTTATATTTGGTGTCATCTCTGTGTGACTCTGAGTACAACCTTTGGGTCAGACGTGGCTGCTCTTGTTTCTTTTATCTTATTATTCTGTCTATAGAAAGCTGTTTGTTTTAAATTTTTTAAAATTCAGCTTTAAGCAATGAGCTAATATGATGATCACACTGGAGTTAGACACTATGGCATTGCTTAGGGAGAAGGCATCTCCAAGTATGATAGCTGAATGAGTTTTGAGAGGGCCTGGTCCAGCCTCTTCATTGTATAGTTGAGGAAACAGGAGTCTGTGAGCAGAAGTGATTTGCTCAAGGTCAAAGCCAACATTGGTATCCAGCTGTTCTGACTCCCAATCTAGATTTCTTCCCACTATAAAGATATTGGATCACTCACCACACATTCCATGAAAGCTTTTTTCTCACACTCTTTCACTCAGAACATGGTGCTAGGACACAAATTCAACATAGAACATTCCAGCAAAGTTTGGCATTGTGACTAGAATAGCATTATAAATTCCTACCTAATTATTTCAAAGAAGGAAGAGAAGATGAAAAAAAGAGAACTTAGAAGAAAGGAGATGAGTGAATAAATAGCAGTCTTTTAAAGCCAAAGATGTCAAAGATAAATAATTTAAATCAGTCTTTGTGCTTGATGATTGCCAAGCATCAAAAATGGTGTTTAACAAAACATCTTGTATTTTCAATTGTAGTTACATTTTCACCATATGATTAATGATGTCTTTGGAGGAAAAACTGGATCATATAATAGATTCCTAGTAGGGAACATAATTCTGAAAGGAACTATTCTCAGGAGAGAAAAGTACACCCCAAGGATAATTTCACATGCTTCTTATACAGTAATTACTTTCCCTCAAGGAATTCACTCACGTAGCATAAGTTGATGGGACAAATGACTTGGAACAGTAGCGACTTCAGTTCTGCCACATAACAAACTTTTATGTCAGGGGAAGTACTGGAAAAATATGATTTAGTTGTTCCTTACTCCTCCATCTGACTTTTTGGAAAGAAGCTTTTGCTTGCTGCAAGGCAGATGTAAGGTAAGTAGACACACAGTGTTGGTGACTGCTAGGACTCCTTCTTAAGAAGAGAATCTACATAGTGAAATACCTCTTAGGGGAAGATGATTGTGATGCACAGGAGACTTTATGCTCAAAAGCTGTGTTCTGTCTTTTAGTTCACATTCACCATGGAGTCTCATTTTTATTAGGATGTGATGAGTCCCAGTTAATAAATGGAGCCCTTGAGGTGTTCTGTACATTGCTCCCTCCCCAAGAGATCTGAGCCATTTCATTGTATAGCTGACCAAGCCTGAAGCAATTCTTCAGTTCATTTAGCTCACAGGGAGAGAGTCTAAAAAGCCCAAAACCCAAGCTCAATGCCATTGAGTCAGATCCAAATCGTGGCAACCCCTCCTTGGGTTTCCGAGGCAGTATCTCTATGGAAGTAGATTGCCCAATTTTCCTTCCGAGGAGTGGCTGGTGGGTTTGAACCGCCAGGCTTCTGGTTAGCAGTCAAATGTCTTAGGCACTATGCCACCAGAGCTCCTGGGAGAGAGTCTACCCATTAGAAAATTGTGATGTGTGGGTCAGGGACATGCCCAAGGTCATAGTGGTAGAGAAGATGTGACTTGAAACCAAGTCTGCAGGATCTCAGGCCATGATAAGTTACCAGCAGGATTTACAAGGAAACTGGTAAGTGCTTAGCCCAGATATGGGCACACCAGTAGACTGCCCAGTCCATGAATGTGCGCCTTATCCTGTTTTACAAAATGATTAGGAATTGCTTTGAATGTTAATTTGGACTTGTTTTTCTTTCAGTTGGTTTGCTTCCATGGCCTTTGTCATTCATAAGTCTGTGTAAAGGAATTTCATATTTATACAGCATGGTTGCTGTAAAGCAAGTGACATGATTCTTAGAAATTAAATACACCTCCCAAGATTGCTTTGTGATGAAGTTCAGGTTGAGAACAAAAGTAATCATATCTGGGGCTTTAGAGAGTTTTCTTTACTATTCTTCAGTTAAGCCCTTGTCTCAAAATGGTAACACC